CTTCCTTCCTTCCTTCCTTCCTTCCTTCCTTCCTTCCTTCCTTCCTTTCCTTCTTTTTTTTTAAATATCCAACTAAAAGAATTTATTTCAGCCAGCTGAGACTACACTCAATTATTCAAGACCTAAATGTAGCCCCAAGCATTTAGATCAAATCCCACATCCTGTAATCTTACTCAACAGTGTAGGGGGAGCTTTTGTCCCAGCAGGCAGTTTAACAGTAGCCAAGATAAGCAGTAGCTGGAGGGGGAGGTCTTATACCCTCTTTTGGCCTTCAAAAGAGGTCAAAATGTATCCATGTACTATATGAAAATGGAACACAGATATACATGCAAATAAAGCATGCATGAAGAATGAATAATTCTAAAAACCAAGATAACAACAACAAACATCTATTATACATAGAGCCCTGAGAAAACATCATAAACATACATCAAATACTTCTGAGTATGAGGAAGTTTTTATGTAATGAACCACTGAAAAATCTCTTACATAGTTAAATGTTGCATCACATTTTGGTGACATTCAGAAATTACAGAGATGGGATATTCAAATTCTGAATGGTCATATCCAATTGTAATTTTATAAACATCCATGTTCGAATTAATTTATACTGAGATATATTTGAATAATATACTAGGTTCTCAGGTGTCTTATCATCCCCAATGTTTGATGGAAAGTCCTCTCTCTTGAGTATAAGTTACCCCAGATTTTCTCCTGAGACTCTGGTAGTCCTCTTCAATATTTTCTTCATGTGCTTTCTCTAGAAGTAAACCCAAAGAAATCATGACTTAGTCAACATTACAAAAATTTATTACATTCTAAATTTTATGATGTGACCAGGCACATTAAATTCACTACATCTTCCTTTTCGATATTTCAAACCAGAAATCACTATACACGTAAGCAGGAAACAGTTGTCTGAATGAATAAGCTAAGGAATCATAGTGTGTTTTACCTATGGAGATCAGGTTCATAGTTTTCCTTCACAACATCTCTGTAGAGCTTCCTTTGACTAGAATCCAATAAAGTCCACTTGCCTGAGGTGAAGTTCACAGCCACATTCTCAAAAGTCACAGGATCCTAAAACAGTGCACATATTAGGATGGGTGGTTTTACCTGACAGGTTGACAGGTTGCAGAGCCATTTAGAACATGTGCTTTGCAAGACACTTCTAAGTGGTTATGCAGATAAAGGTTAACATGAGAAATTATAGGGATTACATGCGTTAATGTGAGAAAACCCATGCACAGTGTGTGGAGGCAGTCCCTGACTTGTATGCAGGATTATAATAGAGGAAGAAGGGAACTGACGAACATACAGCCACACATTCTTGATTGTGGTTATGATTTTGTAGACAGAACACTGGTCCTGCACTGTTAAGTCCCAAAGAAACACACAGAGGCTTATAGTAATTATAAACTGTTTGGTCTATTAACTCAGGCTTATTATTACCTAGCTCTTACAACTCAAATTAACCATAATTCTTGTCTATGCTAAGGCACGTGGTTTGGTATCTTCTCTCAGTGAGGTATTCTCATCTTACTTCCTCTGTGCCTGGATGGTGTTTGACTCTCTGCCTTACCTCTTCCCAGAATTCTCTTAGTCTGATGGCCCCACCTATACTTCCTGCCTGGCTACTGACCAATCAGCATTTTATTAAACAAAATTAGTGACGAATCTTTACAGTATACAAAAGGATTATCCCACAGCATGATTTGACCATCTGTTTCAGACTCTTGCTTTAAGGTTTCTATCACGATTTACTGAACCCTTCAACTATGAGAAGAAATAAACTTTCACTGCCTTAAGTCATTTTTGTCAGCTAGTTTATCACAGTCATAGAAAAAGCCTAATATAGGAACAGACACAAAGAAGACGAGCCATTGTTGAAAATAAGCCTGATCAGGTTCTCTAGGCATTTTAAACTTGTGTGTGTGTGTGTGTGTGTGTGTGTGTGTGTGTGTGTGTGTGTATGTGTGTGTGTGTGTTGGAAAAATAGCTTTTTCTTAAAGCAAAAAGAAAGAGTGAGCAAGAGCAAGATCAGCATAGTAGACAAAGCAAATCTGAGCAGATCATTTGGTAGATGCTGTCTAGACAAAAATGATGAAAGTAATGCTTACAGAAGACACACAGATCAGGAAGACTCAGAGCAGAACAAGGATTCAGTTTTGAAGCAAGATGGAGGCCTTTACTTTGCTCTTTTCTTCAGGAACATAGCTTCATTCTACCCTGGGACCAGGAACGTAAAGGAACTTAAGTTTTAAAACAATGAAGTCCTTCAGTAAGTGAAAAGAGTATAAGCAAGCTTAAAATTTTAAGACATGAGGTCATGAGAAAACAGCTGTAATTGGTATGAAATTAATTCTAATTAATTTCATAATAATTAATATTATATTATAATATTAATATAATTAATTGTTCCCGGGAGAATAGTGAGACAGAACAAGAGAAACAACCTGAGACTTTACTTGGGTTTTGCATGCAAACACCCCATGAGTAATTTTAAACAATCATCTGTACATAACCTTGGACCACATCTGCTATCAGGTTTCAGGTTTTAAAAAAATGGCAGTACGATAGCCCCTCAGACACCTTATTAATTCCTCATTATCTATTTAATTGCATTTTGAAACACATCTGGGAACAATGGAAAATGGCCTGAAAGTAAGGTGCCACTTTGGGGCACATGTACCATAAGTCAAACTGTGTTTTCAAAATTAGCAACTAAGGAAAGTGTTTTTTACCATTTTGCCTCTGAATAAGGCATATGATTAAAATCAGAGGCATGATGGGAAAGGGCATATGCTGGGAGCAAGGCTTTTCAAATGTCTCCCTTCCCGTCAAAATGCAGAACCCGCTGTACATTCTTTGACACCAAATCTATCTTTAAAAGTTTCAGGCAATAATTGGTGACCGAACCCTGTTCATATCCACAGTTTGGATATTTTAGGAAGATTATTGAAAAGAGTTTCTGTGGGAGCACATTCTGCTCCTTCAGCCAACAGCCTTTAGGATACCAGCCCACTTGGGCATGGTCTCTTATACTGTAAAAGCAGTGGTAAACATGAGCCCATTTTCCTGCTTCTGGCTCCTGCTTCCAGCTGCTAGACTCTGTTCCTGCTTGCACACAGGACTGTTGTCGAGGACAGTGATCTGTAAGTTTTCCTCTTAAATAAATAACCCTTTTATTATTCATAATTCTGTACTGGTGTGGGATTGTTTTGTGACTTACGTCATCATCCTGTGCCTAAATATTTGGTTTTAGAACGCCCTGGCTCTATTGTCTGTCGCCAGCTCGGAGTGCACCTGACTAGGCATGAGGCTTCCCTCAGCTGACCGTGGTCTGTGCATGGAGCCAGGATATAGATTTGGATATAGAATGTTCATAAAGCAGTGGTTTTTCTTGCTGCTGACCGACTGATCAGGGCCTACCGCGGTACACGCAGGTTGTGATTTCTATTAATAACTATTTTTTGATCTAAGCATCTTTCCATATTTCACACTAAAATCAGATTCATACCAGTCACGTGACTCCAAGTGCATCACTGGGCCCAGCTGGGTTGGTTTTGTAGGTGTCCCACAACACCTACTGGTAGGTAATGGTTATTGCACCTGACCCAGCTAATTAAACCACAGGTAAGATTTAACATCCTAAACATAGATCATAAGCTGCCAATTTAAAAGGGCAATATGTCAGACAACCTAATTGTCCAAGGTTTCAATAGCCTCTTTACTTACACCATGTGTGAGGCTTTTCAAGAGTTATAAAATGTCCCTTCTACATCATTATTTTTGATTCTGGGGATTAGTTTGTCCTCAATATTTTTTTTCTTAAAAATATGGTTTGACAATAGGACAAAGAATGAGGTGTTTTTAGAAATGGTAAAGTCTTTACAGACTGATACCAAACTTCTCAAGAAAGAGTTTGGAAATCTGAAGAAGGATACTTTAACTAACAAAACTCAGTCAACTGAGATACTTTTAGAAATGGTACAGACTGGTACCAAGCTTCTCAAACAAGAGGTCGGGAATCTGAAGGAGGATACAAACAATTAGCTAACAAAACTCAGTAAACTGAGGTACTTTTGGATATGGTACAGACTGATAGTAATTTATTTAAAGGAAGAATCAGCACTCTGGAGTGGAAAATGACCAATTTGGCACATAAAACCCAATCAAGGATACTTCCCACTTTCTCTTCTATAAGGTTCATTGTGCTGGCTTTATGGTGAAGACTTTGATCCATTATTTAGACTTGAGTTTTGTGCATGGTGATAGATATGGGTCAATTTTCATTCTTTTGCATGTTGATATCCAGTTATGCCAGCATCATTTGTTAAATAAGCATTCTTTATTCCATTTGATATTTTTTGCTTCTTTGTCAAAAATCAGGTGTTCGAAGGAGTGTGGATTAATATCTGGGTCTTCTATTCGGTTCCATTGGTCCTCATGTCTGTTCTTATGCCAATATCAGGCTGTTTTCAGTATTGTAGCTCTGTAGTAGAGTTTGAAGTCAGGGATTGTGATGCCGTCAGAAGTTCTTTTGTTTTACAGGATTCTTTTGACTATCTTGGGTTTTTGATTTTCCATATGAAGTTGAGTTCTGTTCTTTTGAAATCTGTGAAAATTTTTGCTGGTATTTTGATGGGCATTGCATTGAATCTATAGATTGCTTTTGGTAAGACTGCTAATTTTTACTATGTTAATTCCGCCTACCCAAGAGCATGGGAGATCTTTAACTTTCTGGTGTCTTCTTCAATTTCTTTCTTTAAAGATTTAAAGTTCTTGTCATACTTCTTTGGTTAAAATTACTTTGAGATATTTTATGCTAGTTGTGGCTATTGTGAATGGTGTTGTTTCTCTGAATTTGTTTTGGGTCCTTTTATCATCTATGTACAGGAGGGTTACTGGTTTTTTTTTTTTTTGAGTTAATCTTGTATGTTGCTATATTACTGAAAGTGTTTATAAGTCCTAGGAGATCACTTCCTAAATATAACCCCAGCAGCACAGACACTGAGAAAAACAATTAATAAATGGAACCTCCTGAAACTTAAAAGCTTCTGTAAAGCAAAGGATATGGTCAACAAGACAAAAGAACAGCCTACAGAATGGAAAAAGATCTTCACTAAGTCCACATCAGACAGAGGTCTAATATCCAAAATATACAAAGAATTGAAGAAATTGGTCATCAAAAGAACACATAATCCAATAAAAAAAAATGGAGTACAGACCTAAACAGAGAACTCTAGACAGAGGAATCTAAAATGGCTGAAAGACACTTAATGAATGTTCAACATCATTAGTCATCAGAGAAATGCAAATCAAAATAACTTTGAGATTCCACCTTAGACCTGTAAGAATGGCCAAGATCAAAAACACTGATGACAACTTAAGCTGGAGAGGTTGTGGTGAAAAGGGGACACTTCTGCATTGCTGGTATGAATACAAGCTGGTACAGCCCCTTTGGATATCAATGTGGCGATTTCTCAGAAAATTAGGAAACAACATTCCTCAAGACCCAGTAATACCACTTTTGTATATATATCTAAGGGATGCTCAACCATGCCACAAGATTATGTGCTCAACTATGTTCATAGCAGCATTGTCTGTCATAGCCAGAACCTAGAAACAACCTAAATGCCCTGGACTGAAGAATGGATAAGGAAAATGTGGTACATTTACACAATGGAGTTCTAAACAGCAGAAAAAATAACAACATCTTGAATTTTGCAGGAAAATGGATGGAGCTAGAAAATATTGTTTTGAGTGAGGTAATCCAGACACAGAAAGACAATTATCACATGTACTCACTCATAGGTGGTTTTTAGACATAAAGCAAAGAAAACCAGCCTACAAATCACAATCCCAGACAACTTAGACAACAATGAGGACAGTAAAAGAGACTTACATAGACTTAATCTACATGAGAAGTAGAAAAAGACAAGATCTTCTGAGTAAATTGAGAGCATGAGGACCTTGGGGGAGGGTTGAAGGGGGAAGTGGAGTCGCAGGAAGGGGAGCAGAGAAAAATGTAGAGCTCAATAAAAGCCATAAAAAAACCCAAACAAGGACAGTGTGTG